AACTAGTTCCTCTTTAAAATGTTTTCCCATTTGGTTCATGAGTAGCTGCAGTCAGGGAAAAGGATGCTTAAGTTGGCATTGCTCCTGGAAAACATGATTATCATACTGTACTCTCACCAGTGTTTCTGAAGAAAATTTAGACTTGGCTATTTCAGATTTAATGAGTGAACTTTTTGGTTGTTCCAGCCACTCCCTCCTTGAAAAGAGTTAGCATTCTGAGCTGCACAATGGATAAAATAGCTAACAGTTATACCAATTCAAATTTTGAATGATAAAAATTTTAAGCCAGATAGTCCTCATTGAATCAAAACATCTTCTTTTGAATAACAACAACAACATAAAAAAATAAATAAAACTAGTTTTTTGATGTCTGGGGCATTTTTATGTTGTTTTCTGAAAAATTCAAAGCCACTTAAAAAGAAATTCACCAGCTCTATACCTGAGAAGGCAGACAAATACAATGCATGATTGCTCCTATAATGGATATTCTTTTTTTTCTCTAAAAGGGAAGTAAGCTAACTTTGCAAATAAGATGCAGTCTGGTTGCTGATATAATTAGACTGTTGTTCCAGACATGCACTTTCCATGACTTTTCAAGCAAGACACTCAAACCCAGAAATGCCAAGAGGGTCAGCTGCTGCTACAATAACCACAGCAAAACCTAAGGGTCTGTTCATGGCATTTACAATGTCCTTAGGACAGAAGAGATGGGTCATTTGTAAGGGCAGTCACACTGAATCTAATGAAGCCAGTGGGAAATTCAGAACAGACTGGTGTGCATCCAGCCTGTCCTACTACAGGACAAATTCTTTGTTTCCCTCCTAAGCTGTTTTGTTGGGGTTTTGGGTTTTTGTTTTGTCATTATTTAATATTTGCAAGGTTCTTTGAAATCTTTGCATGAAAGTACTAGGCAAAGAGTTTCTATAAGTTTCTATGTGTTTCTATAACTGACAGTTTTTACTTCTACTATCTGGTATGAAAAGCTTTGCACTGGAAACAGCACAAAGTTTAAAACAAAGTAAACCCATTTTATTTTCCTTTGGAAATGCATAACTTGAGCTGTAAAAAAAATTAGGTGTTCTTATTTAGGTATTCTGTCTCCTGAGCATAAAAATGAAATTCCTTTTTTTCTTAAAGGCTTTTTCCTTTCTAAATATTTTTTTAATCTCTACTCCAAAAAGTCTATACTGAAGTTAAATATAGTTATTATGCTAGTCTTAGGTCTTAATTGCTTTTTGATCAATAGAAGTTTAGTAGACAGATAGAGAAATAAACATGTTGCTGCTAGCATTTTGTTTCCAGCTGCATTGCAGCTGTTTAGTGTTATACGTCAGCAATGCTATGCCAGTATCTCATCATAAGCTCTGTTTGGCTTTTTAAGCTATCAGGAAAAGAATATGATAAAAGGATTCACAAAAATACAAGAGATAATAATACATAAGAATAAGGCGTTCTGTAAACATCAGGAAGGTTTTGAAGTTGTTCTGTAAATTCATTCTTTCAGACCTGCAAAATCTGTAGGACTGTCAGAACATCAGCCCACTGCACTGCACTGATTTTGGAATCAAATGTGCAAATGCTCAAAAGAAAATTACAGAGAATGAAACATACTATGATATAAAATACAGCATTAGCTATCCATTGCTCTCAATATAAATGCAAACCCAAATAAATATTTGTATTATTAAAATACAACAACAAACCAAACCCAAACTCACCCACAACCAACTGACCAAACAAACAAACAAAACAAGCCATGTGGCAACAGGACACTGAAGGTACAAATACAGAAGATCACAGGGTCAAAAAAGGTTCCCTAAGCACAGCAGTAGTTAATCCCCATGATTACAACTAGGCAAATATTAACAATCAAAGAGGCAGCATCCACACATTTCAAGTGAGGCATAGATAGATCTGTTTGAATTTTAAAGATAACGGGCAGTGCAAGCATGAATAAATATTTTGTCCTTTATGACAGTATGTGCATAGTCTGGGATCTTTCACTTGAGAGTGATGCTGATAACTGTCTTAAGAGCTCACTGGTTTTTCTGCTGACTGCCTTGGATTTTGACTATCTTCCATATCACAGCTTCAGAGGTGATAATGAAATGGCATCACTTCTTTCACAAAGACTTAATTTGAATATTGTCAGCACTTGCATAAAATTAAGTTCAAGCAAAAATCAATAACCTCTCCATTTGCAGTCCAAACAATACTGTCAAAATGCAGAACACAGAATGGAAGGCAACCAAATCTGCTGAAGGTGCTATTGTGAAATGACAGTTTATCCCTCACTAATTTGGTTTTAATGGGGATATTACAGCTGCTATCAGAAAGTACAGGAGACAATATTTTTTCCCTTTTTAGGGGTTGCAAGGCTTGAAACCACATACTTATCAACTCAATACCTTGAAATTAGTCCAGGATTGTTCAACTGCATGAGAATTGTTAGATTGTTGGAAACCACATCCCACACTCTGTCTTTTTATTGTAAGCTTCCTTATAGTATCATCTTGCAGTGAAACCTGAATATCCTCAAGAGATTAAACATAAAAGAAAGTGAGGAAAAAAAGATGCTGGATTAGAATTTTAACTGAAGTCTTCTATGAGAAAGACCACACCACCATCAGTGGCCTGTCTCTCCTCATGTGTGATCCCACTTGTGCCAAGTGTCCAAGTGTCCAAAGACTCCATCAGTTCATGTTGTATTTTTCCTTTTTCCTCCTAAAACAGGGTTTCATTAGTAAGAGAACAAGTATTCTTGCCAATGATGGGGGTGTATCAACTGGCTCTGCAAGACTGCATAATTTCCTCTGGTATGAAGAGCAAAATGTAATGATGCTGTTTAAGACCTGAGTTTTGTGTTGATAAAAAATATTTCTAAGCAATAGGCAATACATTCTGTTCTAGCAAATAGGAAAAAATGCAGACTTTTAAATGTTTTAGAATGCCATTTCTATCTCCAGCTACAACTTTTGTTTGTTTTTTAAAGGCACTCTCTGATAAGTTTGCCTCTAACATATCTGAAAGTTGTTTTAGAATCTCATACTGTATCTTCACAATGCTTATTAGATACCACAAGAATGCTTTTCATCTCATTTTTACTCTCAGCTCCTGAAGTCATCCCTAGCTCTGAACAACTGTATTAGTTAGAGGGTAGTTTTTCACAGAGGAGCAGGAAACCAAGCTCAATCAAAAGAAATTTCTAAAACATTTTTCATTTTTATTAGTCTAGATCTCCTTGCCTTCACAGTGTTTCAAAGATTCACATTCAGTCTCATAAACAGTATCGTAAAACATTAACAACAGTGTAAATGCTGGTGTCAGAAGATATTTTTGAGGTTGAATTCCTGTTCCTACACTCAGATACTTGTCCCAAATAAGGAAACAAAAAGAGCTTTCCTCACATCTTTCCAGCCAGTGTGTTCTCCTAGTAATATAACTCTAGTTCAATTTATTGCTGTTCTCCTTTTTATATTAAGTCATACTTAAGATGTCAAGCAGGTTGCTATACAACTGAACTGAAATCTCAGCTATTTTATGTGTTTATTTTACTTTACTGCAGCAACTACTAGATGTAGTGTTGAGTCAGTACAAGTAGTAAAAGGTCCTTGACCTTTTGAGCTTGTAAGAGAAGTCTAAGAGAAGAGAAAGAGAATAGGTGGAGGGCCAGACATCACCATAATCAGGTATACACTGTGACTAGTACCTACATTTTCTCTGGCAGTTCCGATTTGCAGATTGAGATAATTATTATCAACATAGAACTTACTATCAACATTTATAATCTCTTTGACTCCTGTTTTAAGCCCTAGTGCTTATTTCTCCACAAGAAAAACAAAAACCCTCTTGATCTGGCTCATTATATAAATGCTTCACCTTCTACCACCCTGGTCTCCCAACCTCTTTTGCAGTAAATGGAAAGAAACCAGAGAAGGGAAGCAAGTTTAGCTAAAGCATATACTAAGATTTTCATACAGAAAATAAATAAAGATAGGACTAGATATCTGACATGAACATGCATGACAGTTTCAATACAATAGTTTTGAAAATTCTGCTTCCTGGTTGCAGAATTAATTGTGACAAAATATTTTACTCCTCGATGCTCTGGAATGAACCCACCAATCCTTTTAATCTGCCTAAAATTCTGAAGAAAAATACACTGCCAGTGACTACTATTTACAATGTCACTTCCTGCTTTGAACTGCCTTGTTTATCTTTGTGCATCATATCAAGCAGCACCCAACATTTAGTCCTCAAACTGGAATACAAACTGCTCCGATCCAACATGTGTCCCAGGTTTTCTCTCTGATGCACAATATTTTTATCATTATAGTTTCACTAACTGAAATCTTTACTGTTATTTTCATTAAGTTTCTTCCATTTTTGTGTCTAATTTAGCCTGAACTCCTCTCTCCCAGCCCTTATTAAGCCATATCAGATAAACTGCTCCTTTTTTCACTCAACAGGCCTACTCCTTCCTAAGGACTGCTATTTGTTGGGAGTAAATTATGTGCATTCCCAAATTTGTATTTGGATAAATTTGATGTAAGCAACAGTCATCCCTTCCTTTGGAATTATGAGTGAGTCTTTTTTTACTGTGTTTATTGACCTAGAATAAACAGTTTTCATTCATAAATTATGTAGCAGCATTTGTCTTGAACACCGATAAAGAGACTATCATCATAAATATCTTTCCTGATAAAAGGATTTCCATGGCTCCAATGTCAGTGAGAGACAGTTATGAAAAATTATAAGAAAATTTTGGCTGACCAAAGTAAGGATTACTTAACCTGGAGCTCTCAAATACATGGTAACAGGCACTTACACTGGGCTTGCCTTTTATATCCAAAATGTTGCGTATATGCTGAATTTCATACAATCTCAACAAAAATTGGCTCTGCATGAGCTTTGGCTCATGTACCCTAATTTATACCATGGGATGAACAGAAACCAGCTACACCTATTAATGTGTATAGCAAAGAATGCAGAGACAATACCTGCACAAACCCACACACCATATAGTCATCAAACAAAGGGAGGCTAGGGCGGTCTTCTCGATAAATTGTGATTCTGTAGCTGCTCACAATCTCGGGGCTGGGCTGCGAATCATCCGTTAAGAGAATGATGACTTTGTTCAATCCAAGGCCAAGGGGGTAGTTAGCAATGCTGTATGACAAAAGAGGAAAGAAGTGCAATAAGCACTGAAGAAACAAAGAAACTCTTTTATCTATGGCTGCTAAACTTTACTTGCTCCTAGAGACTGCTACTTCTAACATTTTCTTTCTCTTACAAAATACATGAGCTTTTAAATAAAAACAGTGCAAAATAGGATTTGTAAGTATTTGAAGTTCTTTCAAGAAGAAAAAGTAATTGAGAGTGACATTTAATCAAAACAGTGGCAGTGGCAAATATTTTGACATGAAATCTGTGAATGAAATAATTTTAAAATAAAATTTGTGATGAAGTCAGTAGGAAAACAAATACAATCAGAAGTGTAGCTAGCTGCTGAATTTGTCCACTAGCCAAATGTGATGGATTCCCAGACAAACTGCTCAAGAGAGACAAACCAGAGCAAAGCTGAGCTGTGCTCTTCTTCCTTAAGCAGGGAAATAAATGCTGAAAGGCACAAAACCTGCACATGCAGGGCTTTTACTTTTCAGTGTAAAGGACATCTTGCTATTCTTTTTCATTCTACAAGGAAGAAATCTTTGAGGTTTTCACATATATATATTTGTGTTGACTTCATGTGAACTTCAGTTAACATTAAAACTGCAAAATGTTGGGGGGATGATCTTAATGACAGTTTCTTTTGAAATGATAAATCAAGACTAATTTCTTATTGAAAATACAGGAAACATATTGGGCAATAGATCAGTAACAACTGCATAGATTTTCTGGTTAGTAGCAGACATTCTAGGTCAAAGCATCTGCTTCACAGTCAAAAGGTGGTGTGTTGGCTAAGCACTTAATGTCATGAAGCAAAGTTAGCTCTGACATGGTTAAGAATTTTTCTTCCCAAGTAAATCACTGTCCCTGTTCTCCCATTTATCCACTCACTAATGGCTAGTATGTAAATAAGCCAGTTCTCTGATTCTGAGGTACCTGGCCCAGAAAAATAAACACTTTTTGTTCCTCCCAACCTTAAAAACCAGGTCATACCAAAAGTACCTATCGATATTGTCCCTGGTACATGCTGTTGTCTCTGACAGAGCTGGCTGGGAAAGACAGAACTGTGCCAAGGTTCATAGCAGCAATTAAATGTCATGATTTATTGTGGGTCAGTGCTCAGAAATGATGTTTAGTGATGACTCTGCTCTCTCCTCTATTGTCCAGCTTTATAGTTCTCTGAAAGATCACATAAACTGGGGACTCCTATGGATGACAAGATGACTCTCTTAGTGGATGAGAGAAAGGCTATGATTGTTGCTTACCTAGATTTTAGTGAAGCCCTTGGCACTGTTTCCCACAGCATTCTTCTGGAGAAAACTGCTGCTCACACATTACATTCACATACATTTTGCTGAGTAAAAAACTGGCTGGATGGCCAAACCAATCACATGGACATGGAGATTGAGGGCACCCTTAGTCAGACCGCAGATAACATTAAATTGGGTGGGAATGTTGATCCAATGGAGGGGAGGAAGGCTCTGCAGAGGGATCTGAATAGGCTGGATGGAAGGGCTGAGGCCAAGTGTATAGTTTCAACAAGGACAAGTGCCAGGTCCTGCACTTGAGTCACAATAACCCCAGGCAGAGCTCCAGGCTGCAGGCAAAGTGGCTGCGAAGATGCCTGGTAGAAAAGGACTTGAGGGTGCTGATCAAGAGCTGCTGAACATGACCCAGTGTGTGCTCAATGGCATTCTGTCCTGTACTAAGAATAATGTTGCCAGCAGGACCTGGCCAATGATTGCCCCATCTATTTGGCACTGGTGAGGCCACACCTCAAATCCTGTGTTCAGTTTTGAGCCCCTCACTACAACGAAGAAATTGAGTGACTGGAGCATATCCAAAGAAGGAAGGAAGCAAGGTGAAGGCACTGGATCACAAGTCTGATAGGGAGTGGCTGAGGGAACCAGGGGTATTTATTCCAGAGTAAAGGAGGCTGAAGGGGGACTGTGTCACTCTTGGCCACTACTGGACAGAAGGTTGTAGAAGGTGGGGGTCAGTCTCTTCTCCCAAGAGACAGGACAAAAGGAAATGGCTTTAAGTTGCACCAGGGGAGGTTTAGGTTTGATATTAGGAAGAATTTCTTCACTGAAAGGGTAGTTAAGCATTGGAACAGGTTGTCCAGGGAAGTGGCTATGTCACCATCCTGGAAGCAATTTAAAAGCCATGTAGATGTGGCACTTAGGGATGTGGTTTAGTGGTGGGCTTGGCAATGCTGGGTTAACAGTTGGACATGATGATCTTAAGAGTCTTTTTCAATGTGACTTCTGTGATTCTATGACAATCCCTTATACTGCAACTATGACAAAAATGAATCATTCTGAGTTAGTAAAATTGAACTTATTTCTCTTTTGGAAGCCAACTACCCTATTTTGAGGCATGTAAACAGACCAAGCCCAGCAAGGCAGCAGATTAGGGCACTGTGCAAAATTAACACCTGGACACAAAAGCTCAGATTCTCTGTCATCTACTGTAGGCAGTAGTCTTTTCCCACCCAGCTTTGATGCTGTCAGTGACTGAAGAAGCTGGGTGAGATATTGGAGCTGTACACTCCATTAAGCTAGAGTTAATTATGGCTTGAGAACAACATATGACCATTGCCTTCAGGATGTTAGAAATAATACAAGTTTCTCAGTGTTGAACTCCTCCTGACTTTCCTGTGATTAATCTATTTGTGTTCTGGGGCTTTGGAAACAAACAAAAAAAAAATCTGGAACACTATGACATATTTCCAAAATTAAGTTTTTACACTCATATTTTGTTGCTCATACCTTGGCCCTTTCTTGTTGTCGAGGTGTACATGGCATTGACAGTTGGAGGGTTCTGCTCCTATCTTCACTGTCACCATGTCAAATGGCACTTCTGCATAGTATTCTCTGATCTTTGGGTTAAACTGAGGATTCAAATCCAGCTGTGGACTGGTGAAGATCTGTCTGATATGAGAGAGGGTATCTTTATCTGTTCCAAGAAGATATAAAAGAAAAAAATAAGTGAACTGTATGAACATTTTGGAACATGCAATTTCTGGCAAATTGATACCATGTATGGTGGTAAGATATTTAATGCCTAGTGACTTTGAGACTCATAATCCTGCTGCAAAGTTTTAATGGAGTTGTAATGGCACTTGAGAGAAATCTGTATGCCTTGGAGGGATTTTAAACATTCGGTGTCCAATCACTTAAGTCCTATGACAAAACTCAAAGCCAACAGTAAGCCTTTGAAAATGGAAGGATTAAATCTGTGAGATCTGACTCTAGTTAGTTAAGTGAAACTTAAAGAAGAGGTGGCCAAAATTCATAACCTGCTTAGGTACCAGGCTGTGTACAGGGTTTATGTACAAGTGTAATTTCCAATAAAAATCAAAATAAGTTAGACATACTCTTACTATTCACAAGAACAAGTCACATGAAGATATCAAGACACATGGGGTCATTTGCAGTACAGCTGAAAGAATGTTTTATTAAAATTCCTATATCAACAAATTCCAGCTCCTTTCCTGTGTATGAAATCTCCATAATCAAATCCTATTTGCTCAAATGTGTCCTTTATGTCATAGTGTTTGCCAAATTACTCATGAGAATAGTTATTTGTTGGCATCTACTTATGACAAATATTTTAATCCAGCCTGTTTGATTCAGATTTATAGTATAACACATTCAAAACTGCTTTACACGTATATTCATTAGTACATGTTTTAAACTGGGTGTTTCAGAAAATATTACCAATAGGAAACTCCTTTAGTATAATATCTGAAAAATCTTGTGGCTTAAAAGACTCAAAAATTATGCAAATATATTTTGAATATCTGCCCTTAGAAACAAAACAGGGCAATTTGAGAACTCTCTTACATGGATTAAAATTTAAAGGAAGATTTCCAATGGAAGAACAGAATTTGGGCTAGCTTTGTAGGGGAATAGAGACTTACACATTGACACACAGAAGGTATTTAATAACCCCCCTACAGATGAGTATAAACATTTCTCCATATTCTCTATGCCTTACTTAGAAATGTTGTCTCACTACTAGCTTAAAAATGAGGAGGAATTTCAAAGTAAAATATATTGAGGTATTTTTAAAATAAAGGATCATGCAGTTAGAATGGTGATGCCACTCAGCCAGCTCAGGAGTTTTTCTGGTCTCTATCTGGCACAATAGTTCCTGGAGGCAGCATGAGAACAGAGGGGACATGAGGCTCAATGGGTAGCAAAACCTTTCCACCACAGAGTAATTGCTTCACATTTAAAAACATGCTCCTCAAATAATTTGAGAATGAGGAAGGCAGCAGAAAGTACTGCTACCACCAAAAAATAAAAAAAAAAATATTTTGTATCTTTACATATCTTTAAAAATACTTTAAATATTCCTACAAGCAGATATTTTAGAGAAACTCCTCATTTCTTAAGTGGCTCCTTAATACTCCATTATGGAGCTGAAGACAAAGCTTTAAACAAAGCTGATTAAACTCCAGACAAGTTTAAAGGTTTTTCCACAAGAACAAATGTATGCTGAGGTTTTTGGAAATAGGAGGGGCAAAAGTATGTTGAAGTGTGACAAGGGATCAATGAGTTCTGGAATACATTAATATGCATATACAGCAAAGTTTAGTTTTGAGGCTTATTTAACACAATAGCCCATATATTGAATTTTTATAAACATTCTTGATACTTAAAATCCTTTTTTTTTTTTTCCTCAGTAAAAGCCTACAAATACTCTATTCACTTAGAGCTAATGTAGAGAAACCCAAGAAATTTTTTCAAGAATTTTTTTCCCCTCTGTGGTCTTGAAAGACCTTTACTTACCATAACTGCATTGTCTTTCTCCAGTCTTACTGGAATAATGCAATGCTGAAAGACAAACAAAAACAGATAATAATTTTCTGTTCTCCCTCTGATTATAGTCCTATTGGAGAAGCAACCATCTTTTACTTTTAAGAGACACATTGTACTTTAATTCTTTACAGTGTGAGATCTTCACTTTAGGCTTGCAAATGCTGCTCATGGGCCCCACATAGCCACTTACATAAGATAAGGAAGAAATTGGTCTTTTACATAGAGTAAGCTAAGACTTTCCAGCTGAAATGCAAGGCAATGTGATCTAAATCCACATGTTTTCAAAAATAATACAAATAGGAAAAACATACTGTATAAATGACCTCATTCTAAACCCTTACCTTCATGATTTTTCCTGAAGTCAGAAGGAACATTCTGCTTAGGACTCATATTTTCTTGAGAAAGTTGCCTGTCAATTCAATAGCAGAATTGTCATTCATATTAGTATATGAATGGAAGGAACAGAAACAATGAAATATTTTGCAAAATATTTCTTTATGGTATCCCAGGACACATGGTATTTTAGTATTCTCCATAGAAAAATTAATCTTCTGGATTCATATTCCCAGCATTAGAGATATTACCTGAGTGACCATAACAGAAAATACACATTCCATAATACATGGCAGTACATCACATCAAAAGAAAAAAAAAAAAAAAAAAAAAGTGCAATGCCGGAAAAAAGAAAAGGGAAGGAACCAAAAAAAAAAAAAAACCCAACCTTTAAACGCCTCCAAGAAAAGGGTTTTTTTTGCATACACTTGAGATTAAATTTAGACTTTGGTCAAAAAGAATTAAATAAAAATGAAGGCATGCCTCCAGGGGATTTTCTGTGCTGACATTAAAATGGAACATCTATGTGTTTTGCTTTATTTGCAAATTCAAAACAAATCCTGTGTGTGTGTGTGTAAAATCTCTGTGAAAAAAAGACAAATAAATTGCAATAAATAATCAGCATGTCAGTGGTGCCCATACTGTGAAATGTGCAGATTTTTTCTTTCAAGTAGAATTTTGGCAGCATGGTAGAAAAAAAGGGAGTAGGCTTCTCTTCAACCCTCTGGCTTATAAGACCTTTTTGGAGGTCCATTAGCAGTTTTTGAAACTTTCATGGGTTTTCCAGTCAGTGTTTCCTTTAGAAGTTCTCATAATGCAGCTTGTTCCTGGATACTGCAATTCAGATTTTGAAGAACACAAAGCTACTGTCTGTGCCAAGGAAGGGAGGTGCCAATATTGTTCTGTGCAATCATCCATCACTGATATTTCAACAGGAGTTTCTGAAAGCAGTATTGAGATCAATCATGGAAAAAGGTAAACTGTCCAGTGATGAAAAAAATGCCCAGTGATAAAACAGATTTCTGCATTAACTCAATGAGATAAGGAAAGAAGCAGCTGGCAGACCTGCGGGTGCAGGAAAATGTAGTTCTGAGCTTGCAGTGTCTAGACAACCACTCTAAATTAATGCAAAATCATTACCTACAGCAAAGGAGGCATTTAACAAACTCTTGCAGGGCTTGCTTTCCAAGTTGCAAGTAATTTTGTACCCCTCTTTCTGTTTGTCAAGGAAGTGAAAGCTAACATCTGTCAAATGCTGTTGCATATAGGTAAAGCCTTATGAAATAAGGGCCTTGTTACCCTTGTAAAATCATGGCTCAGGCCTGCTGCTTCAGCTAAAGTAGAAAGACTATCCCAAAGTGACTCAGCTGAATTAGAAGGAGAAAAAAAAGTTATATAACTATTACATGTTCATTATCGTTATTACGTACTGTATGGTGGTTGGTTGGATTATGTTTGTTATGATTTAAAACTATGTAACTGATAAAGGCCTGGCTTTTGCAATGAAGCGACTCTCCTTTGCATCTGCCTGGGGACTCTGCGTCACTTTGCTTCATACACCTAGTACCCGAACAAAAAATATTTTTTCTCTTTGCTGTTCCTTTTTTGCTTGCCTGGTCCCAAAACCTGCTTTACAGTGAAAGCAACATGTCTTAACTCTATAAAATGACAGACTTTGGTTTAGTCAGAGAATACCTCAGGCATGTGGCAGGAGAGCCACCACCACTCACAAAGGAACAGCATGACCTTTATGAATCTCAAATCTGTAGAGACTGCCATTAACTTCAGACAGCATTAAAAGATATAATAACTATATCTGATTACAGCAGGGTTAGCAAAATGTAATATTTAGAAATCATATTAGAGAAAGATACTCAGATTACAACATGGCAGTAGGACTGGAGCAGTGATTGTCCCCCTGCACTTAGCACTGGTGAGGTCACACCTTGAATCCTATGCTCAGTTTTGGCTTCTCACTACATGAAAGGCATTGAGGCACTGGAGCATGTCCAGAGAAGGGTAATGAAGCTGGGGAAGGGGCTGGAGCACTAGCCTTATAAGGAGTGGCTCAGTGAGGTGAGGGTGTTTAGTCTGGAGAAAAAGAGGCTCAGGGGAGACCTTATCACACTCTACAACTGCCTGAAACAAGGTTGTACCAGGTGGAGTCATTCTCCCACGTAATGCATGATAGGATGAGAGAAACCTTTCCAATATAAATGACTCTGTGGTTCAATGATTTATCTGTGCTACAGCCTGAGCTTTTTAATCATCAGCACCATGAAGCTTTCTTTTGTCCAAGATCCTTGCAATCAGCAGACTGAGATATGATGCAATTATGAAGCTCCTCCTAATACAGAGGGCTTTGCAGACTCCTTTCCTTCATATGCTATTACTTAAGAAAGGACCTTCATCTGTTTGAGTGGCCCCTATTTACTATTTACTTAGGTATCTTGTAGGTGTCAAGTTCAGATGTGCTCTTTGCCTACACACTTTGCAGTTAGCTCTAATGAAACCAATGTCTATATGTCAGTATTCTTGGTGAGTGCATGCTCGTCAAACCTTTCAGCAGATTCCCAATGTGTACATCCCAAACTATTAACTGTGAACCCGCTCTTTGGGAATCTCTCGGATTCAGCAAATAAGAAAGGCAAAGGATTGACTGTAGCAATAGTAATATTGCTCTGATTGTCTATGCAATCAGATATAAGCAATGAAGGACATGTATGAATAGAATATTTAACAAAATTTAAATATAAAAAGAAAAAAACTAGTCATTTTAGGTGTCTCTGATGGATATGTTAGTTGTGAATGGTGCAAGTTTTAATGGGTCATAAACTCAAGATTGAGGCCATATTTCAATATTCAGTAAAGTTATGCATTTTCTTTCTTTAGATAATGTTATGTAGTTCTCTCCAAAATTAGTTCTCTATTTTGTAGAGTGTTTGTTTGGCTTCAGTCACAGTTTCCATGTGGGCATTTGGGTCCTTAAATGAAATACCTTGTGGTGATCTTCAGATGTGAAGTAACAAAATTCAGATGCAAGAGTGGGATTAATTTTCTGGCACTTAAAACTATCTCTTATTTCCTCTTCCTTCTGTCTCTCCCTCCTCCCATTCTAGGTCAGTGATCTTAGCCTTTTTTTCCATTGTCATTGCCTTTTTCTGTCCCACAGTCTGAAACATGTTAATTCCTCTGACTTCTCAGGTAATTTACATGACCAAGTTAAATACCAAAAAAGTATTTTCAGCCCAGATTCAGTTTGAGGGTTGATGCTTCCAGTTGGAACTAAAATAGGGCTTGCATATGAGAAGTTAGAACCACTTTTTCAAATACATCAGTTGATTTCAAAAAAACATTTGCAGCTTTTTGAGCTGCTTAGGCTTTTGTCTTTTGCAGATACAGAAGGGTTAGCTTTACTCACTAATCTGATTCTTCCACCCTATCTGACATAGCCAAATATACTTTCCATGACACCTCATTGCCCCTATTCCAAAAGACAGCAGTTATGTATGTCCTAGTCATATAATGAGCATAAACTGCATAGAGTTGAAGAAAGCCCATAAAAAATGAATTTTTTTTTCAGAGTACATGTTAAGTGTAGTATCTTATATGAATACATCTGAGGTGGTCATTTTCACCTAGGCTAATTATATCATCATAGTTTGAGATAAGTTTCTAGAGTTCTTCTGTTTCTCCTGCATAAGGAATTCAAGAGTTCACTAATACCATTTATGGTTTCAACACTAGTCATATACATGAAATGAGTTAAAATGTGTAGACTAGAAAACGTCCTTGTATCCTGCCTTCATCCTATGGAGTCATGGCTAGTGAAGGAAGTAACTGTACAAGACCTCAGTCAGAAGTAACTACTTTTCTTGTCTGCTTGGACAGTCAGTTATGCAATTACTAGATTTGATAAACGGAAATACCACTTTTTCACAGTCAGAGAAATAAGAACTGTTTAAATTGAACAAACAGCCTGGCCTTAACTGAAGAAATTCAGGAAAAGTGTTCTGATATAAAAACTCATCAAAGCTGGGGAAAGAAAAAGATTAATCAAAGCTCAAAGATAATGCGTACCTGAGTTATTTGGGGACTAAGTACAACTAAGCTCTTTCTTCCTTGCAATTAAGTATAATCACATGCATATCTGACACATGCATCACCCTCACATGCATGTAGAAAAAGGAGTGGAAGATTCTGATTTAGCAATGTCAAAGGACATGGCTTTTTATACAGTGAATGAAGGGAATGGTGTTATTAGCTTAGCCACTGCAGAAAAATAAAGAGCAAAGAAGCAGATTGGCCTATGCCCTAGGGAAAGGTCATGGTATTTCTGCATATTTATACACATACAATAATGTTGAGCTTGAAGGAAAAAAATGAGGCCAAGGGGCTTGCTCAAAGTGAGTGAGTGGCACAGCTTAGATTAGAACAGAAAGCTGCTAAAGGCTGGTATGCTTTGATATGCAAACCTAAATATTTCTGCAAAAGGGCAAGGGCTTACATATGAATGCAAGCAGCTGCATCTTTGAGTTACTTCTCACTGAGTGATCAGAGTGGTCAGCAGAACAACAATAATTTAGTTCTTTCATGGAGCTGTGTATATTTAAAACACTAATAAACAGTTACCTAGTACAGTGATAAAGTATAAGCTCCCCTTTACAGTAAAGCAAACAAACATAGACAATTACTGATTTGCTGAAAGCCATGCCCTATTCAATGAGGAACAAAATTAAAACTTAAGAAATCTTACAGATGCCTTATATACTCACTACAGAATTCTCCCAGCAAAATGTATGTACTAATATAATTTATGCATTCATTGTGAGATGCAGTGGACGGGGACATACACATTGTATAATGTGCCTCTGTTCCCAGGTCCTTATTTGTAAATCATAAATGTCAGTAGTTAATATGGCATAAACGTATATGAAATATCATTAACTAATAGATAATGAAAACAGAAAGCACAGTTTGAAAAAATTTATACCAAACATATATAACTAAGAGTATACTACAAGTTTACTCCCTTCCTTCCTTCCTTCCTTCCTTCCTTCCTTCCTTCCTTCCTGCCTCCCTGCCTCCCTGCCTCCCTGCCTCCCTGCCTCTCCTCATGAAAGTAAAAACTTCTTGTCAAAAGTTCAGTGGATTTAACCTTGTCATTACAGCATTTTTTTCATCTTTTCATAAGGAGTTAAAATTATGTTCTCGGAGCATTATGCTCTCTGACCTGTCTTTTGTTGGACAGAAAATTTGGAGCAAATCAAAATTATTAATTCTTTTGGAAAAATCTTCACCTGATATTTTATATTTTCTTTACAGTTTTGCTTTTAATTAGTGCATAACTTAAGACAGTCTTAACCCTGGGAAATGCTCCTAATTTAGAGTTTACAGTTTTTCAGAAAAAAATGTACTTCATTAATCTTTCTTAAAAAACTTTACTATAGTTCCAATTAATTTTCAATCCAGAGTCCTCCACATTAGATAAAGAAACAAAACCTGTTCTATTTAGAAACTTAGCTACAGTTCTGATGGCAGAATGGCTGACAGGGCTCCATATGGGATGATCGACCTTCATCTCAAGGGTTGCAAGCTCACCTACATCTACTGAAGGATTAAGTTTTATGTTGCTCACTGGAAATATTGCAATTATATAACTTGAGAAGCTACCTTCAAAATATAAAATAGTTATCTTACCACTCTGAAAGATTTGTATGTGCCTCTTTATTCATGAACTGGAACTGTTGAAGGACATTGGAAAGCAACCAATGCACAGACAGGACTGAACTAAGCCGCCTCATTGGATCTACCATTCGATAAAGGTCGCGCAGCAACATTTGGATCTTGGGTGCAGAAGAAGGAAAAAGCTGAGAAGAAAGACACTGATTTGAGACAACACAGTAGGATATTTGTAGAGTGCAAAGATGTGGAAAATGATCAGAAGACAGTATATACAGCATAGGGCTGGTTATATATTAATGTTCTTTCTCACGTACTTAGAAAAGGACAGTCATGCCCAGCCTTGCAAATCAGGATTACCAGTATTGGCATGGAAGTTGATGTCCTCTGCCTCTGAACTGGCCCTGAGTTAGCTCAGTTGATCAGAGCATGAAGCTAATAATGCCAAAGTTACAGCTTAAATCCCTGTATTGGCCATTCACTTAAGAGTTGGACTTGATGATCCTCCTGGGCCCCTTTCAACACACATGATTTTATGAGTCTAGATCTATTAGACTCAATCCTTCTTCAGAAAGTGTCATCTGTCTCCATCCCTAATACTCATCCAGGAAGTCTCAGAGAAATTCTGATATTCTGCACACTTTCTGAGCAACAGATTAATTTGCAGATCCTTTCTTTTCTGAATACTCACCATTTCCCCCATTAACTGTGCCTATTCACAGATACTGATGGTTATTCCTCCATCTGTGTTCTTCTCCAAAAACAAACTTAAAACATGAAGAAGAGAACATATTCCACCTGCTTTTTTTTGGTCACTTTTTCATTTATATCTACTCTCAGCAGATATGATCATGAGAGATACTGAGATCATGACCTCAGTATTGTACTTTCTCTAGGCCATCCACTTACTCCTGCTCTCTAGGCTATCCACTTACTCCTGCTTTTGCTTCATTGTCATTCTATTTTCTTATCACCTGATTAGTCAATTACATGGTTGTCCTTCTTTTCCTTTCCTTCTATTTCCTGGTCTCCATTTCTGCTTTAGCTGTCCTGTTCAGTGGAAGCTCAATTCAAATACTCAGTTGTATTTCTTTACCTATTTTAAATTAAATTCAAATTATCTACCAAAGTAAAATCAGTGTTACCTCTATATTCTTGCTTACATGTGCCAGAGATAGCAGAGAATGGTAATGAAGGAGAAATGTTATGAGATTTACATAAAATATATAAAATAAAACCCTATTTATTTTACCAGCTCAAATTGTCCAAGACTCTTCAGCTCCTTTATGAAAGTAGTCATTGAATTTATCTCTCTCAAAGAGAAACATTGCTCATCTTCCCTGTTGTATGTTCCATCCTGTGAAGGAAAGGACAGCATGTTCTGGTGAAATCACATGGAAAGCAATGTGCTTTCATTAGAGCCCAATCCCTTCTCTGATCAAAGGAACAAGTTACAGCAGCTCTCAACTAGCCCTAACCTCAGCCAGCCAGCTCCTAGATAGTTCATCCCATTTTCCAGTCTAGAACAAAGCTGACTGTGCCCTAGCTTTGTCTAGAAATGAACCCACAGAAACTACTGGTCTCTGGAACACAGGCTGCGTAATTGTATCACCGCATATCTGGATATCTGCAGCTTTCTGTTTTATCCTGACATAAATTTAGAACCCATGGCCCTGTTTTAGCCACATCTGTCCAAGGGGCAGATGTTGCCTGGATAATTTAGTCCCAATAAGTCTTTCAAGCAGGAGACTCCTCAGAAATGCATTCTTCAAAGTTACCAGAATAAGAGAACTACTACTGAAAGGGTTCTCCATTTGTCAGAAATTATTTTCACTAGTGAAGTAAAATTTATGCAGAATCTATAAATGCAAAAAAAAAAAAAAATACTAGAACACTAATTCTTGCATTGAGAATTAGACACAAAGTTGTAAAAAACATAATCTAATTCTGATGCTCATGGATTGCCATGCATGAGTTAACCAATTCTGGATGAAATTGTGAAAACACACAAATCTTTATATTAAAAAAAGTCCATTTAAAAAAAGAGTGGGAAAACAGCTTTTTTTTAAAGCTTTAAATATATCTTTAAATCATATTATTTTTGAAAATGACATAATTTGAGAATAGAAGTTTTACAAAAGAATATTCAATTGTTCAATATACTAACAGTTTTACACCTCAGAATACAATAAAAAATGTTTCTGATTTAGTAAATCCCTAAATAATAAATTAAAAATAATTTATTTAATAAATTAATAAAGTAAATAAATACTAATTTACTATTATAAATAATAATTCTATAAGTTGGCACCAACAATTTCAGAAGCACACAATTTAAAATTAAATATTTTCAAATAATAATACGAAAAAGTTGGAATGAACTACCTTGCTCACAGATGAATCATATACTTTTTGCAAAGCTTCTATGAAACTGGATGTTGAGGATTCATTAGATAAGAGAAATTTAAATGTATCTTCAAAAAGAAGTTCTTTGGAAATTTGGTCCTGAGTAGTTGATTCATTCTCAACTTGGAAGTCAAAGTTTTCATGCACCTGTTGGAAAAAAAATTATAAAAATTTAAAGTTTAAATAAAATTCCAGTCTCTTCATAGCAATAAATACGAAACTGGAACTTTGAAAAAAGGTAATAACACAAACTGACAGGATTATAAAACAACAAATGCTTTGCCACAAGGTCTGTCACAACTCCATACCGCAATGTTTGCTGCCCTTCAGTGGACAGAGTGCAGTATTGCAGATACATGTGAAAAGATTTTTACCATATTTGATTTGAAATTTGATAAAAATATAAAGTATCAGATTATATGTTAATATAACTTACTAAAAACTCATGTGCTAAGGATTACTACAGGACATCTGTTACTACAGATTGAAGTATAAGTTTTACAATATATAAACACAATTAACAAATTAATGGTTATGAAATATGACTAAAACATTAATGAACACGAATATAGCATCAATATTAATAGTATTCATGCACAATATTGTGTACATAATATAAATTAAAAGTTATAATTGTCAAAGTCAATGTTGCATTAATTATCAACAGCTATTTTCTAGAGACATTTGATTTTTTCAGAAGAAAATACTAAATCCTACTGATTTACTATAAACTTGTGGATAATGGATAATAGTTGAAACGCCTATGGAGGAAGGTAAGCGTTATATTTTATGTTTATTTTTTAAACTCTTCTGGGATAATTTTTACAGCCTGGTATACAATTATTAAATTGTTATGACATGCCACATTTGTTGTACTAGCTAAATAACTCTTCTCAAACTAATTAAAAATATTGTCTTCATGGACTTTTTAAATTCTCCAAATTCCTTTCGTATGTGCATTTTCCCTATGTGTTTAAAGGATTTTTTTTCCTATGTGTTTAAAGGCTTTTTTCTGAAGAATGCAGAGATTGACTGCAGTGTTATTGCCAAACACTTGAAGAGATTTTAAGTGGGGATATATTAACTAATTTTTGTTAATATTTGTCTATCTTAAATATAAATATTTTGCATACCTAGCAATATGCATATTCATGTATATACAGGACTTAATGAGAACAACTGGAAAGCAGTACAATAATTGTTTCAGGACAGGTTGTTCTGAGGCAGGAGTGGTACAAAAACCGGCACAGGTCTCATTTCCCTGGTTTTAAGGACCTTGTGAATCATCCAGGAAGAAGGCAGCACAGTGGAGATCAAAGCATGTAGTGAAATGAAGAAGTACAATCCAATTTATGGAGAACTTTAATTTGTATTAAAAGCCCATTGTGTTTTTTTAACTTCCTCCATTCATCTTTGTTCTGTCACATTTAAAACCTAACTCCACTTTCATGCAGTGCTTCCTGTGGATTTTGTTTCACTGATATTCATTTGGGGTAACAGTTAATTTTTTTAATGCAAACTGAAAAGTTTGCACATTTTGATGGTCTGGTGAATTTCACCACAGGAGTTCTGACTCTTATAAACTGATTTCTTCTACAGGAACTCTCCACAATCAGCCCAAATTAATATATTAAAGTGTTGGTACATTTCTTAGACATTTGAGGGTATCGATCAAAGAGATTTTTCTGCTGTGTTCTTCTTGGTGTAATTTTTTTGAGTGAAGCAATAATTTGTGCAATTTTCTCACCTTAAGAACTACTGGTTGTATGGACATGCTGAATCCAATGTCAAAGGTTAGCATTTGAAAACATTGGCTGCATCTGAAATACAATATAGAAGGAATCGGTTTCAGTAAGGTTAGGTACTGTTATGAAATATAAAATCATAGAATAATTTAGGTTGCAAAAGACCTTTAAGATCATTGTTTCCAATCATAAACCTAGTACTGCCAAGCCCATAACTGAATTATGTCCCTATACACAGTAAAATTCAATACACACACAGGTCCGGAGAACATACACAGGAAAATATACACACATAGGTCAAAAAACATGTGATGCAGACTAAATAAATTTCTAAGAAGAGCCAGCAGCATTAAGCATAGAAGGACTCAGATTGTGAGGCCATGAAAATAGTGCTATATAAAAGTGTTTTTAATGATTGACAGAGAGGGAGGTGAATTATGCTGAAGGAAGAAATGCCCTTAAAGGAAAGTGAATGAGGTCCTGCAAAAGCTTTAAACACATTTAGAGGGGAAGAGATGGTGAAACACTGCAGGCTCATTTGAGCCAAAAAGCTCTGCAGCAGCTATGGGGATGTTTGGAGGCATGGGCCAGGAATTATAAGCAAGTCTTGTGTCACACAAACAAGAGAGTCCATTTCACTGGTAAAAAAGAGATTTTGGGCCACTGTCAAAAGAGCTTCATCCCCACTACACTCCTCCCCTCCTTACTACCCTCTCTACTCACAATGTAAGCTTTATTGCCAACTTGTGTAAGTCAAATAATGAGCTTTACATTACTGCTACTAAAACACCTGGTTCTCAAAATAGCTTAAACACATAAATTTAATAAATAGCAACTTATTTAGCACTTATCATAAAAATGTCAGAGATGGGACATAACATACATAGAAGAAATAATAATTTTATTTAGTAAAAATATTACATAATTGAGGTTGATTTATGTGTAAGAATTACAACACTAATAGTAGTGATTACACACATAAATGTGAATGTTGGTGCCTAGGTATATTTCATAGCATACACTTTATAAAGTGTTTTACAGTGTCTCTTGTTCGGATTGCTTGCCAGAGCCAGCTCTACACAATCTGAGCTACTCTAGCATTAAATATTTGACATATGACAGAATGCTCACAGAAAGGAAATAGAGATTTATGTGTGTTAGGACTAGCCCAACTGTGAGTGAATTCTGTTCATTTGTGCTGCCTGAAACACTTCATTAGGACAGCGTCTGGTCCTAAGTATTCATCATAGCTTTTTCACAAACTAGAAACACTGTGGATATTGAAGAGTTATACTCCTTAAATGCAGCATGTCCTTACTTTATAAATATGAAATAGATAAATAGATGGGAATTTTTTTTTTTAAGATTTGTGTATCTTCTGCAATTTTTATTCTGTTCTAAGGAGCTATCTTGACACTAGTATTACAATGACTACTGCAAGTCACTTACTGATGGAAAGAATTTGGTCCTGAGGCAGATGATTTGCTGAAGACCTCAGTTATGAGTAGAAGTTTGTTTATAGCCTCCTTCATGTTGTTGAAGGCTTGTTGGGGAGAACTATTCCTGAAGAATATCTCAAAAAACTTTTGCAGCTGTGAAAGAGAATACATATATTTTTGAGCATTTACAGTAAATCAGTGCTTAAAATCATAAATTAAAAGACCGATAGAAATAAAAATTGCCTTGGAATATCATCTTCAATTCTTATTCATTTGTACAATCAGGTGCAATGAAAAGCTCCACACAGCATACTAATAGAGAATGACTTTTTATTTACAAAGAAGTATATCAGAAACAAAATCTGTATTAATGGTTTTAAAAATATTGCTCAGAATCTAAGCTTACTTTGATTAAATCTTTTGCTGTCATTGGTTTTAGGCAAAATACTCAAAAAAAATGCTTGTATCTTCATCAGTGGGTAATAGCAGACCCAAAGTAAAAGCCTTCTGTTTTCCTAACATACTGTGCCAAGGACTATCCCATTGAACCTCAACTACAAATCCTTACCCCCAGTCAACAAGTTTTAAACAGAGTATAGAAGAAAGAGGCTGGAAAAAAATGATCATCCACCGGAGCCTGTGTTTTGACGGAACTCTGCATATTCTGTGGCTTTCAGACTCATATATCCTCCCAATGGCATATTTACTGGTCTGCACAGTACTGTCCCCAGGTGCTTTCATCACTCATGCAAATTCACTCTTATTATCACTTCAGACAGAGATTCAGGGAAACAACTGGAGCAGCACAGAGACCCAGTGAAGAGTGGGACATAGGCAAGTTTTGTAGTACTTGGTGCTAAGAAAGGGGCTGCCTTTGAACTGTTTTTCCATTAGAGTTATCATACAGCACAGAACCCAGTTAAGATCTGAACTATGTAAAACTGTTTCATAATAAAGTAGCACTATACTACCAAAGAGACACTTTCACATAACAAAAAAATACTATCTTCAGAAATAAGGCATATAAAGTATACGCAGAGCACATTTTATATTAACATTAAGAAAGGAAAAATTTCTGATTATTTCTGGGAATTTCTCAATGACATTTATTTAGAAATGTCAGTATATATTTTCTATTACCACCCACTAATACATGCCCCAGTGGGGCAACATGATGGAAGCATGTAGGCTTCTGTAGACAACCCTCCTGAGGACTCATACGCTTGGCACGTCTCCATCTGCCTTGGACTGCTACAGCCATGAACAAGTGTCCACAGCACACAGATTACCCAAGCCTGGGCCTTGGTAAAAGTCCACAACAAAGTTTAATGTGATAATTTGGCTCCAAGGCATAATCACAGAACCACAGGGAGCTCTGGAGGTCACCTGGTCCAGCCCCTCTGCTTAAGCAGATTTATCTACAGTCGGTTACACAGAATTGCCTCCAGAAAGCTTTTGAATACCCCCAAGGATAAAGACTTCCACATCTCTGGCCAACCTGTGCCAGTGCTTGGTCACCCTCAAAGTAAAAGTATTTCCTGATGCTCAGAAGGAATGTGCCATGTTTCAGTTTGTGCCTATGGCCTCCTGTTCTGTCACTAGGCACCCTTGAAAGGGACTTTGTTTTCTTTACAGCCTCCCTTCAGCTTTGATTCATACACTTTGATGACATCCCTCTGGCATCTGAGAAGCTTCTCCAGGCTAAACAGTCCCAATTCTTTCAGCATTTCCTCATATAAGGAACGCTGCAGACTCTTAATCACATTTTGACCACACCCCCCACCCCAGACTTCCTCCACATCCCTCTTGTACTGGAGAGTGCACAACTGGACACAATACTCCAGGTGTGCCACAAGGGCAGACTGCTGGCTGATGGTCAACTAGATGTCCTCGACCCTTTTCTGCAAAGCTGTTTTCCAGCTGCTGGCCTCTAGCACATGCTGCTGCCTGAGGCTGTTCCTTCCCAGGTGCAGGACTGCACTTCCCCATGTTGAACTGCATGAGGTCCTTTTCAGCCCTTAGCTCCAGTCTGCTGAGGTCCTTCCAGGTGGCAGGATGATCCTTTGATGCATTAGCCACTCCTCCCAGTTTTCTGTCATTGGCAAACTTGCTGAGTATACACTGTGCCAAATCATCCAGGCATTTAACGAAGATGTTGAACAGAAATAGAACCAGTATGGATCTCTGCATACAGCGCTAGTTCCTGGTGATGTGCTATGATGTGCTGACACCAGAACTTACAGCACACTTCTCTACAACTAGTCCACAGAATTTTCTAGACAGTTTTGGAGTCTCCCCTTGTGAGCATGAATACTTTCAAGCACACTGCTCTGCACTGGCACAGATGAATGGCTTTCAGTTTCATCTGGTAGCATATTGCAGTTAAATGTAATAAGCACTTTTCAATTTCCTTTATAAAAAAATACTGTAACATTGCTCACAGCCAACCATGTGAGATACTTGAATATGCAGCTAACATTGATCCTCTTTTGCTTTTTGCTCTCTTCAGTTTCACTAACTCCATCCAGTTGTGCTGGTAAATAACTGAAGGGTAGGAATTTGGTCTGTTTGCTTTCCTGCTCTTATCACCTCTGTTTTTATTTCAACAAGTGGCTGCCTTTCCAAGTTTTTCTGACTACAAGAATGGTGACCTGTGCACAGATCTGTGCTGAAGGTATATAGTGCCTGTAACTTTTTGTCTTTTTAGTAAAGCTATTTGAAATGCCAGTAGGGAAAAAAATGACAACAATATATATGACTGAAGTTATAAAATTAAACTTCTGACTGCAGGAAATGGTGAAGCAAAGGGTGCATATTTATCCTCAACTCTGTTCTTTGTATATTTGCATGATGCTGATTTTTTTAATTAAATCACACTGCATTTCTATACTGTTTTCCATGTGTACTGCAGTTCCATGACCTATGGAGTAAAGGAGCCCCAGATGCATTATTTAGAGATTATGCAGCTCCTCACATCACAGTCTATTTCATCTCCAAAACAGGCTGAGAAGGATTCCTTGTTTCCCAAAGTCTAAGACCACCAAAGCTGTGTTTCTCCCATAGAGAGGTAAAAAGATTAAGAACAAGAAGCTCCACATTTTTCAGGTCAGTTCAGATTCAGAATAATCTCCAAGTGAAATTGTTCCACTTCAGTTCCTTGTTTAGGACAAAACTAACTGTTAATTAAACTGTTCATGTGAAATAAATTAAAAAATTAAAATTAAGGCCCATCTCACCAAGGTGGCTCTTCAGCTGAATTTTGCAATTTTTTCCAGAGTGCACAACTTACATTCCTGCTGCTCTGGCTTACACCTTTTCTCTAACTTCTTAAATCTCCAGTGGGTATTGAAGGACTAAGTTAGAAGATGTGCTATTGTGCTGCACAGGGAACATAAGGAGTTGAAGTTTTGTAAGGACAGATGGGGATTACTGGAAGGAAGAGCAACAGCACCATTAGCTCATCTCCTCTGACACTGTCAATCAACCTCCAAGTAAACACAAAACAAGTAAACACAAAGGATACATAATGCATACATTTCTAATAACAATTGATGAAGACAGGCTGGCTTGCTCTACTGGTACTCAGAGCATGCTGTTGGCTATTATTAGTCAACTATTGCCATCAGAACAGGCATTAAAATAAAACTGGCATCTCCAAGAAACTGCATTTTAGTTATAGCTCTCCTTAGACAGCCTAGAAAAGAAACCATGCTCCACAGGTCCTCATTAGAGGATATCAGGTTTTAGACCAATGTTTATTCTAAGCCAATGGCTTAAAATAAATATTTAGTCAAGCTGGTTCAGGACCAATAGAGATGAGATGGATACTTCAGGTTAAATTCCAATTCATAAAAAAAATCCTATTTAAACAAGTTCAGATTACGTTTTACTCCAACAGATTCCACAGGATTTATAGCAATAGATAGGAAAAATTTAAAGTGTATGGAATAAAGGTGATAATACATGAAAATCTGCAGGAACCTCAGGTTCTTCTGCATGAATCAAAGTATATAAATATTTGTGTTCAACTGCAAAATACTAAAGAGCTGAAGGCTTCTTCAAGTGACCACCACTGATGCTGATCCTCTCAGAGGAAATAGACTGCCTGTCCAGCAAAATACAGCATTGATAGGGTGTGATTAACAGAAGCATCAAACAATTTAAAGAGGACAGAGTAGGAAATACTTCTGGCAGTTACAGGAACCTCTTCTGGGAGAAACTGACCTCTGGCTGCTTTTAAAGCAAAGGAATAGGGTTAAAATTTTAGCAGGCTGTAAGACTAAATGCAGACATGCACATTTATTTTATACAATGATACCATTATACACAGAATTGCAAGATTTCTCAGAAGCTTGAAGGTGTTCATCCAAATGCTGGACTCATACAGTTGGAGGTATGTTCCAAATATTTATGTAATCCCTTATAGAAGTGGGCAAATGCAGTCAAGTTGCATGGATCAAGTACACATTTTCTGTAAAGGCAGAATGAATTAGCAATACTCCTTAGATGAATTTAAACTCATTGACCTTTCACTGCCCAATAACTTCTTGCTTTAGGAAAAGCCACTGGGGAAAAAAAGGCCAACTCAATATTAATTTTATTATGCTTTTTCTTTTACCTGTTTTGACATCTAGTTTTTAAAATCTGCAGTCATTAAAATTAGCCTTATAATCTCAATGACATAGATCCCTCTGGCTCCTCAAAAAGACACTGAAGGTAAAGGTCTGACATATTGAAAAAATGCAATTTAATTGACTAAGGAATTCTGATTTGCAGACTTCATGCATAGAGCCATGGAGCCTGAAGAGTGGAAAACTGTGGCACTCACTGGGCTGAATATTATGATGACTGTAGTAATTCCCTCAGAAGATCTTCCTTGGTCAATTTTTCTGCAGGAGAGCTGCTGGGGCAGCATGGGGCAGTTACCTGAATGGTCAGCTGAGGATTGCCCTAAGAGTATAAAACCAAACTGTAGTAATCTTTCTGAGATTGCCTTCTAGCTCAATCCTATACAATCTTGCCTTCTGATGAAACAAGCAAGGAAGATTTTGCTTAACTAACATTGGGAATGGCCATAAATGCAAATTTAGAATATCATCCTTTGTTGACTGCACTAATTAGCTTTCTCCTCATTGTAACAGGTGCTCAGAGAC